AGGGGAAAGCATCCCATTGGTTATGCAAACATACCAGTATCCTATTGGCTATACAAATGACTTGTGTGACCAATTGGATACTAAGGAAATGACTACAGTGCTGTCCAAGGCTAGGTCATAAAAGGTACTGTGGCTTCCATCTTTCTCTGTATTTCTCACTCTGGGCCAAGCCGGCCGCCGTCTTGGGAAGAAACTCAAGCAGAGGTCTATGTGGCAAGGGACGCAGCCCCTGAGCCCGACATTTGGGAAGCACATCTGCCATCTCCAGTCAAGCCTTCAAATGAACGTAACCACAGTGACATCTTGACTGCAACCTCAAGAGACACCACAGGTTGGGCACTGCCAGGGGGCCATACTGGCATTTTTGACCCATAGAAACTGTGAACTAAAAAATGCTTATTGTGTAAGGTTTTTGTTGTTGTTGTTGTTTTGTTTTTTGAGACAGGTTCTCTGTATACAGTTTAGGCTGGCCTTAAACTCACTACATAGCCCAGGCTGGCCTCCAACTCACAGTGATCCTCCCGCTTCAGCCTCCTGAGTGCTGGGATTACAGGTGTGCACCACCACACCCAGCTAGAGCTAGGCTCTTAACCTAGTACTTCTCAAGAGGCTTTGACAGTGGAAGTCTATGGAACTCACAGTTCTGGGGACACACAGCCAAACTGCCACCACAGCTGGTTCCAACCTAGAGTGGAAACCACTGTGCCCAACGTAAACTCCCAAGTGCAGCCTAATGTTCAGAGTAGGACTGGAGGTTTTAGACACAGGGACAGGTGGCTGGGTGGCCAGGGTGTGCCCTCTCTCCACTCTTTTCCAGCTGATGGCTGGCTTGTCCTTGTCCACCCCACTCTCACAATCAGTGATCCTGGTGGATCTCAGGTTGCCCAGGGACCTCAGCCTGTGCGGGGGCCGCTGCTGTGGTCCCCACAGCACCAGTGCTCATGGGTGTCAGTGCAGGATCCCGCTGCCTGATGGGTCCCAGGCCACCCGAGGGCCTCCTGCTCCCCAGGGTCTCCTCCACGCCCCTGGAGGCTGTGGGCCCCTTCGCACCAGGGCCTCAGGGCCTCCATTTCTCCGGGGGAAAGCAACCCCAGTCTTAAGCCATGAGCCACAGGAAAACAGCACTGGTTATACAAAATTTTTTGGTTTTTTGATTTTTTTTTCGTTACCGGGATTGGACTTCCTGCCTTTGGGTTTGCCGGGCGGGGTTTTTGCGGTTGGGTTAATTTTTCGGCCCTTGTTCCCCAAACTTTTCCCGGGAACTTTTTTAAATTCAATTCCCCCCGTTTTGGGGAGGAAAGGCAGTGTGGAGAAACACATTCTTCTAGGCCCCTGGGGCTGCGTGGGTGCGGGGACAGGAATCTTTCTGCACGCTAGAAGGCAGGGCCCTTTTTCTGTGTTAAAAACATAATTCTACCCTCATGGTCCCTTGTCTCTCCTGGCATGGGCATCCTGGGGCCGGGTTCCCTCTGGCCAGAGCCCTGTGTGAGGCTGCGGGGCAGAGGTCACCAGAGGCAGGGGAGGAAGCTGGGACCTGAACAGAGGTGATGGCAGCAATGAAGTCACCCAGCTGCTCCAGAGCACTTGCACCCCAGGACAGAGGCGGTGGCAGGAGGGAGAGGGTTCAGAGAAGGGAAGTCATCTACCCAAGGTCACACAGCAGTAAAGGGCAGAATCGGGAGGACCCCACGGGCACTGGATGCTCCCTGGACACCTGCTGTGGGAGGACTTCCAGAACAGAAGAAGTGGCCACAGGGATTGTCAAAGAGCTGCACTCCCAAACAAATGGTTCAGTGCAGTGGTTCCTAATCTGGGGTTCCTGGGGACACTCCCAGAGTCCCTTTGTTGGGTGAACACAGGCCTATGGGCAATAAAAACAGGAGAGAGTTCTCCGCAGGGTCTGGGCAAAATGAGAAATTAGCTAGGAATCTGACTTACTGCAGAAAGGGTACCGAATCCACTAGGCAGTGGCATCTGCTGTCTTATCCGCTGTCTTGGTTTTGTGTGCAGTGCTGGGGATGGAACCCAGGGCCTCCTCCTGTAGGCAAGTGCTCTACCACCAGGCCGTACCCTGCCCTTTGCATTCTGCATGGAGACAGGATCTTGCTAAACTGCCCAGGCTGGCCTCAAACTTTCAATCTTCCTGCTTCAGCCTCCCAAGTAGCTGGGATTAGAGGCAAACGCCATTGTGCCTGGTATAGCTCTTCTTTAAAATGGGGATGTAGCTCAGTGGCAGGGTGCTTACCTACCATGTGAAAGGTCCTAGGTCCCATCCCCGGCAATGCGGAGGAGGAGGAGGAGGATACAGTCTCCCCCGACGCCCGCCCTACTGGCCACAGAGGCAGCCAGAGGCCACAAGGACCAGGCTGGAGGCTCAGGCTGCCCTGGGAGGCGCAGGACAGGAAGGGCCGGGATGCGCCCCCTGGTCCTGAGTCCCTGCTGGGCCCCCACACAGGCTGTCCTTGGGATGGTGCAGGCTCCTGTCGCAGGTTTGCCAAGAAGCCTGACAGACAGCAACCAGCCCGAGACACACTCGAATTTCTTGTGAAAACCTGTGGGAATGCAAGGGCGAGAGGAGGTGCCGGCTGGGGCAGGCGGCGGCAGTGTGCTCTGCCCCGCAACCCGTCTGCCTGCGTCTGGGTGCGCGCAACCCCTGCTCTCACCACGCCCCAAGCACAGCACGCCAGGGCGGCGGGTGAGGTCTGGCGTGTGTCAGACACAGGGGCCCTGCTGTGGGCCGGCACCCACCACATGCACTCTCTCACTGGGCCCACGGCTTCCTCCACCCACGAATGACCCGGAGCCCGAGACCTGTGGCTGTGCCTTCTTCACGCCGGACTCGAAGTCCCCTCTGAGCACATGACCGGGTCACAGTGGCTTCTTACAAGAAACTCTCAAGGGTCTGAGCACAGCGAGACCCTGGTCCAGAGGCCCTCCATTAGCTCAGAAGTGGCGCAGGACCCCCAGGGAGTGACAAGCCTGACGGGCACCTAGGGCAGCTTCGGGGGCGGGGGCGGGTGGCTCTGCCTTGAGGCACACAGGACAGGTTGCCCAGTGGCTGCAGCTGAAGACCTGGAGTCCAACACTGACACACCAATGGGGGCTTTGTCTGCAGGGCCCTTCGGCCGCCCCTCACGGGCTGCACCATTATGCCCCAAGACCGCCCCCATCACCCCACAGGCCCCTCTCCTAGGGGAAGTGTCTCCAGGGCAGGGACCACGCCTGGTTCCTCGTTGTGCCCTGAAAGCCTGCCCCGTGCCCGGGAGGCAGATCAAAGTCTGATGGCACCACTGGGCCAAGCTCAGGAGGGACAGCGGGCTGGGTCCACAGTCCCCACAGCCTCTGCGGCACCTTCTCACTGTGGACCCCAGCTGCTGCGTCAGCGCCTGATGCCTGGTCTGGCTGCCCTGGGACCCAGGAAGCCACCTGGGCAGGTGCAGAGCTGCACCGCATAGCACTGGCTGCAGCAGGGGCATCACTGCCTGGCCTTCTGACTGAGCGCAGTGTCAGGTACTGGCATGTGGCAGGCACTGTGGTGTGGTTTGGTGTTTGGACAGACTTTTTAATTAATTAATTAATTAATAATACTGGAGATTGAATCCAGGGCCTTCACACTGAGCTACAAGCCCAGACCTTTTTTTTTTTTTTTTTTTTTTTAATTTTCTTACTTTGAGACAAATTCTCACTA